GCTCCTCCTGCCTCTACCTCTTAGGAGCTGAGATTACAGACATGCACAACCACATCAGGGTTTCTGGGGCCTGAGGATCTAATCTGAGGCCCTGTGCACACTAGGTAAACATTCTACTGCCCATAACTGCAGTTTAATATTCATGAATAGTTAGTTACCCATTGTCTCTGGAATTAGGTTCTAATCCCACTGCAGCTGGGACTGCCAGTTTCTGGTCCAGCTTCCTCCAACCACGTTTTCTCCCCAGACAGCCTGCACTGCTTCACACATCTTCCTCAGCCTCCTCTTGTTTCTAGACCTCACCACACATGGTTTTGTTCCCATCATTCCCCACTCTCTCAGAGTCTGAACATTGGCTAACTCTAATATGTAATCTGAAACCTGGGGGTACTTCCCTCACAGGATTGTCACTATGTGTGTCTCCCATAAACACTGCAACTCTTCCATAGAGTTGAACCCAGGAATTGTGTTCCAGTCAGCATGATGAACTTCCCATAACTGCTGCTAGGACAAAGACGATGTGTGCCTAGTTCCTCCCTCAACCCAGAGTTTGGGCACAGGGCATGCCTATCTCAATGTAGCAGCAACACAAACATTTTAGAATTTCTATTCCCCACTACGGGGGTGGGAAGAGGCATGCCAGTACAGCCAGACAGCAGGAATCAGAGTCACTGGACATGAGGATTCAAAGCTCTTCATGGATCTCCTGCTTACACCTATGTCTGTTCCTCTAATAAACCTTTTGATTATCGTATCTGAAGGTCCCTCTTTAATCCACATGCTGATCCAATTAATCTAGAACATGGTTCAACATGCTACTTGGACACTTGTTTATAGTGTCTCATAATGCAGGAATACAGATCCCAGCCTCTGGCCTAAGGACCAGCATCCAATGAGCACAGGATGAGGGTGAAGAAGGAGACGAGACTCCATAGCATTCCGGTCCAACTGGAAGAAGCTAGATCTGAGGGTAATGTCCTAATTCCGTGGGACCCCTCCATTTACCTCCATTTACCATTTAGTCCAGTGGAGCCCTCTCTTTCATATACAGCAACAGAAGGCAGGGAATGGTAGATCATGACACTGCTGTTCTTCATATGGTCACAGTAACAGACAAGGCAGCTGCACCTTCCCATAAGCTTGGGTCGCTCTCTCTCTTTAGCTGTAACAACAATGTAAAGTAAATATTCTTCCTTTGTCTCTGCCTCTGCAAGCAGGCACAGCCCTGATGCTCACCCTTGAGTAATGGCCTCTTTTCTCACAGTAAAGCCTTGCGTCTTAGAACCCCACCCACTCAGGAAATTTGTAAAAGTAAGGACTTCTGTGTGTTCTCTGTACTTTCTTCTAATCCACCCTGAGATGGATTCCTTTTTGTGGTGGCTGGCATTGTCAAGAAGACCTGTTTACCCGAAATCCATCTTAGCAGCTGTCTGTATCAGCCACCATCCTTATCCAACAGTTGTCACTACCGTCCATGGCTGGGTTCCATGAAGAGAAGCCAGACACAAGAACCTGCTAGCCTAGAGTAAGTAAGGGACAGTGAGGAGTAAATAGCAGAGAACAGTTCTTTCTGGAGGCCCCAGGGTGGACCTCAGAGCATCAGTGGGGTCCCCACACATGGACCAGGGGGAACAGAACACCGGAAATAAGGAAACAGCATTAGGACAGCCCTTGGAGAGTGGGAGCAGGCAGCCTAGGAGCAGAGAATTCTCTCATGTGCCCAGGCAGATGCACAGCAGAGGCCAACTATTCTGTTGCTGCTTAGACTGCATCACCAGTCATAGGTTTACAAGGTGCTAATCCGTTGTTGGTTTTTGTTTGTGTGTTTGCTTGGTAGATACTGGCACAGTATGGGCTGTGTGGCAGAAGTGACAGTGTTGCTCAGGCCTCCGTTGTATGTTTAAAGATCATTCTATCAGTGTTAAGCTGTTTCCTGATGCAAAGTACAACAGGAGTCACATTGTAGCTTGGGTTAAACATAGGCGATGTTCAGAGAAGGGATGGCATCTGAAGACTTGGGGAGGAAGTTCTCTGCTTGCTTTTATCTAATTTTCACTGAGCAGGAGTCATTATTAGTCTACTCCATCCATTGCCAAGGCGACCAGGAGAACTCTCTACCCCAAGTGCATGGTCATTTCCTGCCTGGAAGAGAAAGCCTCAGACACAGCTGGGATCCACATGTGCTAGAATATAGTCTACCACTGAGCTACCTCCCAGTCCTTCAGCTGTGCCTTGAGTGTGAAACCCAGTGTTCAGTTCTCCCTCTCCAGGGAGTAACTGTGCCTTTCTTCCTATGGGGATTCTCCCCCCTGGGAAAGAAGAGTGCAGCATTGAATGTCTCTTAGATAGTCTTCTAACCTGTCCCAGTGTCTGTGGGCTTCCAGGCAGCGAGGCCTCCATATTCTCTTAGTGTTTCCTAGGTTGTAGGGCAAGACCCAGACTGCCTTTCCTTGGTTTCTCTTTCTGTGGGCACTTGGGAATTTATTTCTCCACATCTTAAATTCCTGTTCTTTATTTATGGATTATATCTTTTGTGTTTTTTCATAGTTACTGCCTTTTTCATGTATTTTTAGGTGAATCGAAGAGTTGGAGACCCGTGTCTGATGCACTTCTTCAAACATAGCTTCCAAACACATTCTACAGATATGGTGCACTGTACAAAGCTTTGATCTTTGAAGTTGGTTTCCACTGTAAGGGCACAGTCAAATATCTAACAGACACATAGTCAACTCCCATCTTCATAGGCCTAAAGCCCACAACACTCATCATGATCAATTCCTTCATCCTTGAAAACAAGATGAATAAATTATTAATTATGATCACATTGTGCAGTCTCTTCCTTTGTAATACAACAAAATTATCTGAGATCTCTAAACAACCTAAAAACATGGCAAAATGCATATTTTCAACAAAAGGTGAGTGAAACCTCTGCCACAAATGATGTCCTTCCTCTTCTATTTTTAAATCACTTGCTCACTATATCAGATGGAACAAAAACTCTAGTTGAAATTTGTTACCGCCTCTATTCCTGCACCAGGAGAAATAACTTTAGAGATCAGAACCACCCCTGACCTTTGAAATAGTCACACTGGATCATTGATAGTGGTTTGGCTCTGGATGTTGAGTCAATATTTGCCTACTTAATCCTCAAGAGAGTACAAGATCATAACTGTTCAAAGGTTACAATGAAAAGTTAGTTTAGTGAACAGAATGTATGAAGCTGTGGAGATGAACACTGTGTGTTCTGTGCCCTGGGTGAGGAAGGGCACAGAGGAGACAGCTAGTGACCTTTATCTGGTTTCCGTCATTTTGAGTTCCCCAAATCCATCATAGTGCACATTATTAAAAAATCAAAATCTGAAAAGAGTAGCATTGTTCTTGATTTTTAATAGGCTGCTCAAACGATACATTGGAGACACAACTGACACTCTCTAAGGCCAAACAGAGCTGAACTCCCACTGTTGGAAAGAGAGTTGACAATAAATTTGACATTATGTCTGACTTAGTAGCTTCCTTCCTAGGCTGATCCTGGGTGTGCTGCTGTGGGATTCTGTGGTGGTGTGTACACAGCTTTCTGAGCTGATGACAGCTGAAGACAACATTCAGTTGGATATGTTTGTTTGGGTCCATTTAATTTTTAAAGTCCCATTGCTTCCTAGTGACCTTTTATGCTCTAACATGGAAAAAGGTTGGGAGGAAGGAAGAAAAGGCCATGTGTAAAAGATATTAGGAAAGTTGTTCACACATGATTTATTTATACTTAAAGTATTGATTTATAGGTTGTCTTAGTTAGGTTTACAAAGAAGAGACACCATGTGAAGAGACACCATGTGAAGAGACACCATGTGAAGAGACACCATGTGAAGAGACACCATGTGAAGAGACACCATGGCCATGGCAGCAATCACAATAGAAACACTTTTATTAGGGGTGGCTTGTATTTTGATTATCATCATAGTAGGAGGTATGGTAGCATGCAAGCTGATATAGTGCTGGCTACATTATGAAATGCAGGCAACAAGAAGTAGACTGTCTCACTGGGAGTAGCTTGAACATAGGAGATTTCAAATCCCACCCCCATAGTGACACACTTCCTCCAACAAAATCACACCTCCTAATAATGCCACTCTCTTTGGGGATCATTTCCTTTCAAACCACTACCTGAATCCCTGTCCAAAATGGAGATGACACTACCTTGGATTCTTGACTGTTGTGTGGGTCTTGAATAACACCACAAAAACAAAGAGCTCTCAGCTCTGATAGGGAAACTGTCCCTTATTTCTTCACACTGGCCTGGGTAAGGAGCATGCTGATGGATTTCCTGAAGTTCCACCATTGAGAACACAATGGATCCAAGTTTATTATTACTTCCATTTCTGTATATGGTAGTGGATGGTAGTACATATTTTTAACCACAACACTCAGGAAACAGAAGAGGTCAAGAATACACTACTGTAGATGGCAATTTCCAGACCAACCAGGATTGCACAGTGAGACATTGTCTCTGAAGAAGAGCAGACCACTTGTTTGCAACAATACACAATTTATAATACTATCAAGGGAGTCTAGAAAAGGAAACTGACTAAGCAAAGACATATGGGACAATTACTAAGAGATTCTTTTTGTGGGACATTCTATGTAAGATAATTTTAAGCGAAAAATACAATTCAAAATGGTAAATGCACACAAAACAATTCAATTTTAAAAGACTGTTGATTTATAGTCGCACCTTATTTTAAGTAGTAAAGCACAACCACTTTATTTTTCTTTATATTGGTCATATTCAAGATAAAATAAGATGAGCTCCCTGTTTTAAGGGGGTGCGACCTCCAGGTTCTTTGTGAGCCGAGTCCTTTAACAGTCTCGTTTCATCGTTCTCTATAGATCAGAACATCCCTATTTTAACATTGGGAGAAAATAAAAATGATTTTAAGGTTTGTGGATCAATAAGAACTCCCTGCTTTCCATGAAGCTCCAAGGGCGGAGCCCCACACCACTAGAGGATGACGGGAGTTAAAGGATGCTTAAATACCGTGACCAGGTTGCTCTGGGCAGCTGCTGAGCTGATTCCTGGCAACATGAAGGCTCTCCTTGCCCTGGGGTTCCTTTTGCTATCTGTCACTGTCCAGGCCATGGTCTATGAACGCTGTAAGTTCGCCAGAACTCTGAAAAGTCATGGAATGGATGGCTACCTGGGAATCAGCCTGGCAAACTGTAAGTTTCATCTTCTTGATCCTTCCAGATAAGTACATCCTGCAGAGCAGGTACAAGGAGGAATGAGTGAGTAGAGAGGCAGCTGGAGTTAATAAGCATCTAGGATTCCTGTGTGTTTGACTTGGTTTGATTAAAAATGTCATCGTTTGTCTTTTTCCTCAGAGATACTGGGGTGAGGGCATGGGAGGGGACATCTGTGCCAGGCTAAGGCAATAGCACCTGGGGTGCTCTTGGAGTATCAATGGGTTTTCCAGTTGCTTCAGACTCAATAGTCTATGGGGGTCTGGGAGAAGATGGGAGGACTCACTCATTCAGAACTTGAGTTCTGAGAGCCTGGAGTAACTGGTATCTGTCTTCATTTCTCATACCATGGCATGGGCCTTACAGAGAAAAATTTTCAAATTTTTGCATTTACTATATAATAGGGCAGAGGTGTCCTATTATCACTGCGTTCTGTTCAATTGAGGCTTACTGAATTTGAAAGTAAATGATTTGGTGCATGAATAGATGAATGGATGGATGGATGAATGTTCAAATTTATTTGTCCTGAAAGAGATTCTCTTTAGGGTACTTGAAAATTTTCACTTGCTATATACATACAGCAGTTATACCTACTTGAAAGGCAGAGGCAGGATTATTTGAGACCAGGGACTACCCTGAGTAACACAAATAGAACTGGCCTGAGCTGTTGATAGCTTAACTTTATAATTTAATCATATATTTGTATTTATAAAGTAAACCACTTTTAAAATTCAGCAAGATGAAAGAATTAATTTTGATAACCAGTGTACATCATTTTCTGTTGCTGCTTATTGATGAAGATTCTTTTTATTTTCAGGGGTGTGTTTGGCTGAGCATGAGAGTGGCTTTAACACAAGAGCCACAAACTACAACCCTGGACCCCGAAGCACCGACTATGGGATATTTCAGATCAACAGCAAATACTGGTGTAATGATGGCAAAACCCCAGGAGCAGTGAATGCCTGTGGGATATCTTGCAGCGGTAAGACAAGGGAGGTTTAGCGGGATAGCAAACAACCCATCTACTCTTATGTGCAAGAGCAGAGATTTTGTGCAGGAGACATAACACTGAAGGGAACACCCAGAATCTGGGGAGACTGTCTTGACTGTTAGAAAGTCATTGTTATTCACATCAAAATTAGCCAAGGAGGACATTAGGCTTAGGGTATAGTCTAGTGAAGCTCTGCCTGCCAATCAGAGGGTCCTTTGTTCTATCTCCAAAATTCACTCAATGAATAAACAATATAAACAGAGCCTGGAAAGTTAGCTCAGACAGAACATCCCCTAAGCCAAAGTTTGACCCTTAGCACCCACATAAAAGCTGAGTTTGGTGGCATGCATTTGTAAGACCTGCACTGAGGAATCTGACACAAGCATATCAATGGGGCTAACTGGTCAACCAGCATAGCCTAAACTGTAAGCTAGTTCCAATGGCAGACCCTGTCTCAGAATCAATGTGGGCTACTTCTAGGGAACAACTCCTGGGGCTGTCCTCTGACTTCTACATACACAAACACACATGTGCAGGTTCACTGGTGCATATACCACTACACACTGAGGCAGACAAGTTAAAATAGTAGAAAATTAAAAATAAAGAGCTGTTATTGCACTTTTCAAATTTATACTCAACATGCATTCACCCATATATGGACACATAATTAAAATTAAGATTGTCTTTTTATAACACAGGAAAATGTTGTGATGTGTACTAATTAATTGTAAGTTGCCTTATTGGTGTTTGTCCTGAATTTTCCATTCTAGTTCTTTACTTAGTGGTGGTTAAGGGTATTGTTGTAGTGTAATTTTTAAAAAAGATTTTATTTATTTATTATGTATTATGTATACAACATTCTACTTCCATGTATATCTGCACACCAGAAGAGGGCACCATATCTCATAACAGATGGTTGTGAGCCACCATGTTGTTGCTGGAAATTGAACTCAGGACCTCTGGAAGTGCAGCCAGTTCTCTTAACCTCTGAGTCATCTTTCCAGCCCTGTAGTGTCATTTTTGACTGATGAATTTTACTATAAAGATTTCTAACATACAAGTGAAGATATTACTATAATAAAGACCATAGTACAGGGTACCAAGAAGCCCTGGCATATTGTCCAACTGGCTTCTATGTTCATGTATTGATACACTCTTTCTGTTGAGAGATCTTAGAGTGAATTACAATACCAAATTCTGTTTTTAAACACTTTAGTCTGCATGTCCAAACAATCTCATTCATAGATATTATCTCATCTAACAAAATAATACATATTTATTTATTTAAGATGAATCTCATTTATAACAAGAAAACCAACAAACAATATTTGTATCAGGATTAAGTTCTGAGATGGTAAAATTTAAACTCATGCCATGAAGGAAGTAATATGTAAGCTCTAGTGTATGGATAAAATTGTCCAATATTGCTCTACTTCTCAAGTATGGGAATTGAACCCAATAGTTGGTACATTTTAGTCAGGCATTCTAAACAGTGATTATTAATATCAACTCTGTTACACTTGGTTGTTACAATTTTCAGGAGAATAGAGATTGTGGAACATTTTTGTAGCCTACTTGGCCTATGTGTAAGGCATTTTGCACACTCACCTACAGTCACTGGAAGGCAGTAGAGCTACAGGGAAGAGGAACATCACTCCCTGTTGAGTGCTCAGAGAGTTGATGGAACTGGGAACCTTTGGACATTGCTCTTCTAGTCTGTAAATCTGTGCTGTATGTCCATGTAAAGTTGTTACATCATGCACATGTGTACTTACATAAAAACATGTACAGACTTTACATTTTTACACAAATTAAATTATGTTCACACATCTTCATGAAATGGTTATTATTGAAAACTACATCCATAGTAACAAACACTGACATGAATTCTCATTTTAAAGAATGAATAAAATTATAGCAGCAAAATTTTGTATGTTGAAAACAACACCCCTAAGTCTTGCGTCTTCAAGCTACCCCTGCTTATATTTTCCTGGTTACAAATTGTCAGGAAGCTTTATTCACACAGGCTTGTGTTGTTCTCTTTCTTACAGTATCCGTTTATCTTTGTGTTTGGTGTTTTGCCTGCTTATAGGACTGTGCACCACACGTGTGCCTCATACCTATGTAAGTGAGAAGAGGGTTTCATGTCCTGGAACTGGAGTTACAGACAGTTGAGAACTCTCACATGGATGCTGGGAATCAGGTCCTCTGGAAGAGCATCCAGTGCTCATCTCCACTGAGCCATCTGTCCAGCCCCTGTTTTTCTTTTTTTTTTTTGATAACTATATATTTATTTTCTTAGAATATTCATGATTATTTTTTGTTTTTAACTTGAGCAGACATGATCACAAACATATAAATCTGTGCTCTTTAGAAGTATCTTGCAGGTAATATACACAGTGAAATCATATTAATAATTGGGATTATTTTATACATAAAATTTTTGACTTTCAGTTTTAAGAAACTGTACTTATAAGAAATAATTCTATCATACATACATTTACAGTTTTTACTTTTATAATCTCTTCCTCAAAATCATTTTGCCCCCAAACACTGTATTTCAGCGTAAGGAATCCAGTGAGTAATTAGTATTTATATAGGTGGCTGTAAAAACCACCCATGTCTCTAACAGATTCTGCTCCAGAGGTGAAACCCCTGATTAGGAAGCACTTTAATGTCATATCTTGGTCAGAGCAGCAACAATATTTAAATTACTAGAAATGGCAAATCCAATGAGCCCACAGTCCCTTAAGCACATTACTCCATGAAGTATTTACACTAAGTTATGACAGCAACAGCTTCTGTTTTAGCTGACCGTATTAACAAAAACCTCCAAACAACAATAAAAAAGCTACTCTTCCTTAAGAAAGGAAACTTTATCCTTTGACTTATTCAGCATCTTTACATCATCCAGCAGCTTTCTGGGTGTTAAAATATGTGTGGAACCAATAATAACCTCACAGGATTTATGTGCCTGAGAAACTTCATAAGCACAACGCATCTCAGAGTATGTAATTCCTCCAATTACAAAAATAATCAATCTCGATCCATTCTTCCGGTCCAGCTCTAAATAGTTAGTTCTGGGTTTCTGGCGAGCACTCACAGCTCCAGAGCCGTTCCACACTGCCGGGCACCGGGAACAATATGGCCATTCTTTGGAATCTAATCTATTATCAATGGCATCCTCCATGATGTCTTTGATAAAGGGTGTCCACCGGGAGACCTGGAAGGTCTCTTCTGCAGAGCGGTCTTTTCTCACCGGCTTGGCTTGTTGGGATGGTGGAACAATGGGGACACCAAGGTGACTCCAGTTACGAATCATGTCACTATCATCTTCTATCTTTACATTGTGGATCAGTCTGTCCAAATTTTCTTCAGTCGTTCCATTAATACCGAAGATATAGAGCAGGACCGCTCGTATTTTGTCGCAGTTGTCATGGTTTTTGTTGAGCAGCACTGGGAGGAGCACCAGCATGGAGTCCTTCACCCGCTGCCCTTCTGCATCTGTTCCAAGTGCCAGGTCCTGCTCAGTTTTGCAGAGCTTCTCAATATTCAGCTTAAACTTATTCATGCAATCTTCAGCTTAGTTAAGATGAACGACTTGCTTCGTCATCTGCTTACGAAAATGGGGCATCTTCTTCATCAGCTGGGTGAGAGCACTAAGTGACGTCTTCCCCTCTGTAGCTTTCTTGGTTGATGAAATTTCCTTCATAAGTTTTGGAATCTCCTCCAACACAACCGCAATGTGCCGATGCCGGACCGCCCCTGTTTTTCTTTAGGATGATTTTTCACTGGTAGACTCAGGTGACAGTTCCACTGTGTTCTATTTCCAGAGTGAGAACGTAAACGACGGTTAGTCATGGTAGTTGACAGTCCCACAGCCTCCAGTGACTCTCATCATTTCAGTTGGTTCTTTACTTTGTGTCAGTGCTGGAATCCCAACCCCTAGGGATGCTACAAATGAGAAATAAAATGGCTTACACCATGTCAACTGGATAAAATCAAGACAGGCTGTCTCCAATAAACACAGAGGCAACTTGGAAAATAATTTCTTGTGTTCACTGCTCAGTATCACAGAAGAAAGCTGGCTAGAGTTGAATTGAAAAACAGTCCTTGTCATTCCTCACCCCTGTCTTTCAGCTTTGCTCCAGGATGACATCACTCAAGCCATACAATGTGCAAAGAGGGTTGTGAGGGATCCACAAGGCATTAGAGCATGGTATGTTGGAGCTAGGGAAGGGGAAACTGCTGGTTGTGTTGATGTATGCAGTGAGTCTTTCTAAGGTCCAAGGTTCCTTCTGAGCTCTGCAGGTTCAGCTGGGCCTTTCACTGCATCATTACTCTTAGGGAATTTCTCCAGAGTGTGAGAATCCCCACTCATGACTCCTTCCTTGTCAGGCCTCCAGACTATTTGTAGGATCAGTCCACTGTTGTGTGCACAAGGTGTCACATTGACACTGACCACGATGTGTTCTGCTAATGGTTTGGAGAGGATCACACAGTCATGTAGACAAAGGTCCCACCAGTCAGTAGCAGTGTCTGGGTGATGCTATAGCCTGTGTTTCCCAGGAACCAATCTCCATTAGTATCACTGTTAAAGTGTTTCCCTACAAATGTTTGAGCATGTGTGTGACAGAGGAGACAATTTTAACCATTTCTCTCCTGTCTCACTTTCCTCCTCAGGGTGGCATGGAAAACTCACTGTCAAAACCGAGATCTCAGCCAGTATGTTCGGAACTGCGGAGTCTAATGCTGTTTGCTTTCACTTCAGCTTAATCTGTCTCTTTCTTGCTATAGAAGTAGGTACAGGAAAAGTCACAAATCTTTGAATTCCCATTCAGAAAAGTAGGATTTAAACAGAAACAGGGGCAAAATTAAGACTGTTTCCTAAGAGGCTTCATGCTGACTAATGTCATCATTGTTCAAAGTAAAGCCATAATTTTTTGGTTAATCAAGGCAGCAGATGCTGGGGACAGTGGTCCAGCACTTTGACCCTCACACACATCTCTATCCATCAGTTCTTCACTTATGATGTAATTCACATTCAGTTTCATCTGAATTAATCTCTATATTCCCCTGGGTGGATAGACATACAGCAAATATTTACAGGAGGCAGTAGATCTTGGAGAAAATGGAAGTTGTATGAGATCCCAGGCCTTGTGTGTGGGCTCAGCAACTAGGCAGATAGAACAGCCACTGTGTGGGGCAAGGTGTGTTTGTAAGGAAACAGAACTCTGAGTGGATAGACCTGTGACCCCTCAACTCAGAAACTTGTTGTCATGACATGTGTGACGTTCATAAAACTATGTTCTTAGAGTTGTCCCAATTATACTGCTTAAAAAGTAAATCTTCAGCTCATGTCAAAGTCTGTTTTAATCCCTGGTAGAATGTTCCCATGCCTCTTTCAGACCATGAGGCGGTCAGGACAGATTAATGACTGTGCTACTCTTAACTTTCTTATAGTAGCTTCTTGCATAGGAACCGGCTCTGAGACAGAGGAGCTCGATTCAGCAAAACTAAGCGCATTGTGAAAAACTACAAAAAGACATTAAATGATTTTCATTGCATACTTTGTCTTTCTTCTCTCTCAATTGGTGTCTATGGGAGAAAACTGTTTCTATTTTGGAAGAAATCAACATCACACTCTTAATAGGCTCTACATTCTCACCTACACTTAACCAGCAACTGCACCCTCACCTACATATAGCCAGCACCTATATCCTCATTTACATATAACCTGTGCCTATATCCTCATAGACACTTAGCTGTGCCGACATCCTCACCTCCACATAGCCTTTGTCTACATCCTCATCTACACACAACCTCTGTCTACATTCTCACCTACTCATCACTACTATGTACACGCTTACATACCATTGCCTACATCATCACCTATACTATAGCCTGTGCCTGCAATCCCAACTATACACATAACCATCTGGATTTTTCTTGGGTAAAATTCCAAATGTATCTGACTTATCTCCCTTGTCCCTAACAGGCCCTTGTCAAAGTGAAACACTTCTCTCTTTAGAGTCTGTTCTAGCCCAACCTCATCCTACACACACTCTTACATCTCAAGCCCTTTGCTGGCTCTGGGATTGCGATTTCCTTTTTCATTGTGGGAATGCTCTGGGCTGTGGTTTCCATCTCCTAATTTACCCATTAGACCAAAACAAAGACAGCCTTGCACGTAGTTTTCTAACCAATAATGCACTCAACAATTCTGTTCCATTCTGACTCAGAGCACTTGCTAATGGTGCTTTCCTCTGAGTGGTGAGGCAATGGCAGTCTTTTAAAATCACCAGCAGCTCCTGTTAGTATTCAGGCATCTGTACTGGCCTGCACTTGGAGTTCTGACAGGATATGCCCTCAGCTGTAGCCACTAAGAGCACCACCTGTGCATATTCACTGTTTCCTTTTCAAGGGGCCCTGCCCACCTCCTCTCTTTCTCTCTCTCTCTGTCCCTCTCTCTTTCTCTCTCTCTCTTTGTGTGTCTCTCTCTCTTACTCCCTCTCTCTACCTCTCCCCTTCCTCCCTCCCTTCTTCCCCTCCCTCTCTCTTTCTCTTCTACCACTCTTATTTCTAGGGACCAGTCTCCCCTCTGCCCCTTTTTCTGCACCTTCTCTCTCCTCTTCCAATAAGAATCCCGTTGTATAGCATGACTTCTCTGTGGCATTTAAAAAATTGCAACAGCTCCCCCATCTCAGACCTTCCAAGGGTCTTAAAAACTCCACAGTCAGACAACAGGGAGGGGCAAGCAAGGTGGCTCAGAGGGACAGCTGTCTCCTCCCAAACCTGGAGACCTGAGTTGAAACCCAGGATACACATGATGGAAGGGAGAGTGGACTCCTGCAAGTTGCTGTCTGAAGTTCACATGAGAACTGCTCCCCACATGTCCATGTGCAAATAAACACACACACACACACACACACACACACACACACACACACACACACACGAAATTCTAAAATTTTACTATTTTAAAGTTTTTGTGCAAGGGTGTTTTCTGTGAAGGTATGTCTGTTCACCATGTGTATACATCATGCCTCGTACTGAACAATTTTATGTCAATCAAGAAAATCACTCCATATGAATGGGTTGTAAGCGGGCTTGTAAGGAATTTTCTTAATTATTTCTTTTAGTATCAAGGATTATTTTTGGCCATCCTTTTCTTTTTATGAAAGGCTAATTACAGTCAAACTACTATATCCCACTTTCTGGCCCCCATAAGCTTGTAAGGATATCATAGTGCAAAATACATTTAATCCAACTTTGAAAGTTCCCATAATATTTCATAGTCTCAACAATGTTTTAAGGTACAAAGTTCAAAGTCTTTTTTGAGATTCATGCAATCTCTTAACTGTAATCACATGTAAAAATCAAAATAAAAAACAGATTACTTACTTCCAACATATATCACCACAGGGTATACATTACTGTTGCAAAATGCAGGGAAGGGAGCATAGTGAGGAAAAACTGAACCGAAGGAAGAATGAAAACCAGCTGGGCAAACTCCAAACTCTGCATCTCCATGTCTGATGCCAAAGCACTCTTCTGATTGCCAACTCCATTCAGCTCTGTTTACTTCAACACACTTCTTCCTCTTGGGCTGGTTCCACTCTCTGTTAGCTGATCTCATCAGCAGGTATCCTATGATTCTGGCATCTCTAATGTCTTGGGTTCTCCAGGGCCACCCAGGCTTCAACTTCACAGCACGATGTTCTCTCTACTAAACCTCCACTTAGGGATACCCCTGACAGTCTCTGCCTTCCCAGTGCTGGGATTAATGGTATGCCCACCACACCCAGTTTTAAACTTTTCTTTAGTTTCTTTCCATAAACTGGAAATTTAGCTAGGTAGAAACTTGCCCTGAAGTTACCACTTCTTTTTTGCATTCCTTAATCCCTTTATCTCCTGGAACACAGGATTTAGCTCCATTCCAATTCCTGGTTCTTTTTTTCTCCTCAAAATTTCTATTTTGTAACTTACCCTGCTCAGCTTGCTCCTTTTCAGTATATATCTTCATTTAAGTTATCACTAATCACATGACAGAGTCTATATGAAGCTGTTTTGAGATTTCTTCTGTCAACGGAATTAATGTAAAACTTCCCTTACACCTCAGGCAGTGTAAGGGAACTTAGAACTTTCCCCATATATATTCCCCCAGAGTTTAATTCAGGAATCCATCACAGTGAGAGATTAACAACTGGTAAAAGACAGAATTGTTATTAAATTCTGAAAATAAAAATAAGAAATACTGTCACAGGATCACTCAGACACTGCCAAGGTGAGCAGATGCCTGACTTGATGCTAAGTCACAAGGAAGCGTGTGATGCACACAGTGGATGCCCTGGAGAAGGTGAGGACTCATGCCCTGGGAAGAGCAGAGCAGAACAGTGGGGATACACGTGGGGCAGGACACGGAATCCTGACAGCACCAATTGTTTGAATGCAGCGTTTTTCATTTGATATTCTCAGATCATGACTAATGGTGAGTAAGAGCTTCAAGGAAGAGAGCACAGTCAGAGAATAAAGACATCAAAAGCAAATTTAAAATCAGTAGGGATACAGCTCAGAGCATTCCACAGAGCCAGCAAAGGGTTTGAGAAGTAGCAGTGTGGAGGATGAGGCTGGGTTAGAACACATTCTAAACTGAGAAGTGTTTCACTTTGTCAAGGTCCTGTGAGAGACAAGGGACATTGGTCAGTTTGTTTCTGCATTTTATCACACAAATATCCAGGGGGTTATGTGTAGATGAAGTTGTAGGTAATGGCTATATGTAGGTAAGGATATAGGTAATAGCTTTATGTAGGTGAGGATGTAGGTTCTGGCTAAGCATAGGTAAGGATGAAGACCATGCTGCTCTTTCCCAATATATAAATAATTTCCCCCCAAGGACACTATATGAGAATATACAAAGACAAAGAGTGCATTGAAATCATTTAATGTCTTTTTGTAGTTTTCTACAATGTGCTTAGTTTTGCTGATCCAAGCTCCTCTGTCTCAGGGTGTGTTCCTATGCATGAAGCTACTTTAAGAAAGTGAAGAGCTAACACAGTCATTAATCTGTCCTGACCACCTCATGGTCTGAGAGAGGCATGGGAACATTCTATCAAGGGTTAAAACAGACTTTGATATGAACTGAAAATTTACTTTTTAAGCAGTATAATTGGGATAACTCTAAGAACATAGTTTTATGAAGGTCACACATGTCATGACAAGTTTCTGAGTTGAGGGGTCTCAGTTCTATCCACTCAGAGTTCTGTTCCCTTACAAACCTGCCTCACCCCACACAGTGGCTGTTGTAACTGCCTGGGAGCTGAACCCACACACAAGGCCTGGGATCTCACACAGCTGCCATTTCACCCATGATCTACATCCTTCTGTAAATATCTGTTGTATGTCTATCAAACCAGCGAAAAATGGAGATTAATTCTTATGAAACTGAATGTGAATTACATCATAGGTGAAGAACTGATGGATAGAGATGTGTGTGCTTGTCAGAGTGCTAGACCACTGTCACCAGCATCAGCTGCCTTGGGTAACTGAAAAATGATGGCTTTGCTTAGAACAATGAAGTCATTAGTCATCATGAAGCCTCTTAGGAAACAGTCTCCATCTTGCTTCTGTTTCTGTTTAAATCCTGCTTGTCTGAAGGGGAATTCAAGGACATGTGACCTTTCCCATTTGTACTTCTATGGCAATACAGAGACAGAATGAGCTGAACTAGAAGCAAACAGTGTTATAATCTGCATTTCCAAAGATACTGGAAGAGATCTTGGTCTTCACAGTGGCTTTTCCATTAAACTCTGTGCAGGAAAGTCAGACACAGGAGAAATAGTTAAAATTGTCTCCTCTGGAGGCCACAGAAATCACTGTGGCCTTGGGTAGTAGATTAGTGTTTACCATGGTTTATGAATGAGCTTTGGGAGCCCATTCCAAATAGAGGGATGCTCTCTCAGCCTGGACACATGGGAAAGGGCCTAGGTCCTGCCCTGGATGAAATGACAGACTTTAGAGGTCTCACCCTCCCTGGGGAATGATGTGGGGATTGGGTAGGGGGCTGGGAGGGCTGGTGGAGGGACAAGGGAGGAGGGGTGGGAGAGGGAGCTGGGACTGACATGTGAAACATTCATGTTTCTAATTTAAATAAAAATATATATTTAGAAAAAATTGTCTCCTTGGTCACACACATACTCAAACCTTTGGAGGGAAACACTGTAACAGTGATACTAATGGTGGTTTGATTCCTGGCCAAGATCTAGTTTGAAACACAGGCTACAGCATCACCCAGACACTGCTACTGACTGGTGGAGTTTTGTCTACATGACTGTGTGATCCTCTCCAAACATCGAGCAGAGCACACAGTGATCAGTGTCAATGTGACATCACATGCACATGACAGTTGACTGATTCTACAAATAGTCTGGAGGCCTGACAAGGAAGGAGTCATGAGTGGGGATTCTCACACTCTGGAGAAATTCCCTAAGAGTAATGATGCAGTGAAAGGCCCAGCTGAACCTGCAGAGCTCAGAAGGAACCTTGGACCTTAGAAAGACTCACTGCA